CACTTTTGCATAAACTGGGAATTATAACATCTGATGACACCCACAGTTTCACAAGCTTGGAAAACTAAACGCATTTATGTCAAACTGCAGTACAACTCATTTCAGTTCATAAACAAAATCTGGATATGAATCAGAAATTAGCAAAGACAGCTACTCTGACACGTCCATCATCCTTAGCTGAGGTTACATGGACTGGAATTGGATTTGTTTTTGACTCCCCCCCTCCCCCCAGTTGCCAAAATGTTTAATCTCTCAAGATGACAGGTTGCCAAAACTCTGTCCAATAAACAAACTACTTATGGGTCCATGTGACTTTTGTTTACAAGACCTGCTTTGCCTGCAACTAGCCTGTGTTTGAAAAACTGATTTCACCCTGGCTTGTCCTCTGCCCAGATGTGCTGTAAGTGCACCTGAGAGCTTCCTGCAGTTGGAAGCTGTTAATTTACATGACCTTCTCTGATTACACACACGCACACCTGCACACACATATATGGCATGCACACGTTCTAAATTGACATCCTGAAGGCACCGATTGGACTTTTTCTCCTCAGATGCTGACTCAGATGCCCAAACTTGGCATCTGAATTGGCCGACACCGAGTACTGATCCGACACCAATGCTCTTTAATTTAATCAGTAAACCTCTCTGTGTGGGACTGAGTAAGATCATTCTCTGTGCAGGATAACATGAGGTTGTAATGTCAGATTCATGCAGCATCTTTTTAGGCTTTCAAGTTTAAAAAAAAAAACATGTAGAGTGAATCTTCGCTAACGTTAGCTCAACATAAATGTTGCTGTCAAAACAAACTTGATTCACAGTAAATCGCTGCCTTATGATTAAAATGTGACAGAGTAAGTGGTGTAGCATCAGCTGTAGGACTGAACTGACGGAAAAGTGACCATCAAGGAAAACATTCACACAGAATGTAAGGAATTGATGCTTTATCTCTGCCTGTCTGTGTGTGTGTGTGTGTGTGTGTGTGTGTGTGTGTGTGTGTGTGTGTGTGTGTGTGTGTGTGTGTGTGTGTGTGTGTACGCATCAGAGAGAGTTTAATGGAGGTGGGCTGGAGTTTTTAGCCCGTACAAGGCTCTATTGGTCAGAAAAAATAATTGGGTACAATAAAAACGTCTCATTCTTATGTAACTAAAACACAATGATACTTATTTTCCGGAATTATTATGAATATTATATTCCATTTGTGCCAATAGATCCTGCTAAATTAATATAACACATTTAACTGATAAAGAAAATTGTCATTAGTTGCAGCCTTAATCAACAGCAACATTAGCTCATTGCAGCAATTTGAACCGAGCGAAATAGCGAACTATGGATCGGTCACTCTGGACCAATACCCACTCTCTAATAAGGTTAGTATTGGTGCCGATACATACACTCCTCAACATAAAAACACACGTTTCATGTGCAGACACACATTTACAAGTTCACACGCAGACATGTACAGCGGACCATAAACACAGCTGCAAGCACACATATTTCAGTTCACAGCATCTCACTGCATCTCCTCTGTGCACGCCAATCTCCATTTCCACCCCATTTCGGGTCACTGTTCTTTTCCACTCTCTCCTCCGCCAATCCGCCGTCGTCTGCCAGCATTTTCAGGTTATATGAAGCAGGTAGGCAGTCTGCCAGTCTGCAGGAGGCCTTTGGAGACAGGAGCTCAGACAGCGCTTCCTTGTTTACTTTCATGAGTTGTTGACTGGCCACCCTGCCGCGGCTGATGCAGTGTCAGAGCGTGTCAGAAGAGGCCTACTGCGGATTGAAAAGGCATCAAAACATTATTGTGGGGCCCGGCTGTTGAGTGGCAGTCCAAAAAATGAGGGAGTGCATCCTCTGGATACTTGTAGTGGTGTGGTTGTGTGTGTATATGTAGGTGTGTGTGTGTGTGTGTGTGTGTAAAAGCCTTGCACTGGTTCAGAGCTCCTTTCCTCTGCTTTGTTCTCTGTAGTATACTCTTTTTCCAAACACCGTATTATAGGTGTGAAGGATTAGAGTTACGCTAATTGTGAGGTTATGAATGGAATTATGTCTCCCTGAGGTTGCAGAACCGTTTCTGTGATAATAGCAGTCTTGTTATTCATATATCAAGATATGCCAGCGAGCCTTTTATAATGAATGTGCCGTGAAGACTTCGCTGCCTCCGTTGTATTATTTCCAGTGTGAAAAATGTCTGGTTTCAAAGAAAGCAGCTTTTTGGGGAAGAATCCGGGTTCAAAAGCAGCAAATTTAGTCTTTGAAGCCAAATCTGCTCTTTTTTGCTTGAACACCGAGATGATGACAAAATTGCAACTATTTTTTGTGTGTTTAAAAAAAAAGAAATAAAAAAAAAGGGCCAGTGTCGTCTTCTTTGTTTAAAAAAGTATTTAACTGAACTTACAAACGCTCGTGGAGTCATCTCATTAATACGGAGTAGATGATGACCGAGTTATTTCAAGACTTGCTCGTCAGAGTAATGAGGCGTATCCCATGTAATACACACACATTCACAGGCACACAGACATAGACACAGAATCAAAGTGAAAGTCAGAGAGAGAGAGAGAGAGAGAGACTGGAAGGCTTCCAAATGTTCCACTCTGGAATATCTTCAAGGACAATCAGCTAAACAGTTGATATTAAGAGAGCTGTGTGAAATCGATTGCTCAAGGTGTTATCTGCGCTGCAAAAATGGCTGGTAATTAGTCATGGCTAAAGGAGTGTTACAGAGAGAGTGAGATGGATTTAATCTTAATAGATTTCACTGCACTGCAGATACAGTAGCTCCTGAGCGAAAGAGCTCTCCTCTTTCTCTCTCTGGCCATGTATCAGAAGAAAAGCAGCTGAGCAAGTAGCTGTGATGTACTGCTGTTGCTAAATTTACCCGAACCTTCAAATGTAGATGTTTTTGTCCGAGTTACTTGTTCAAAGGCAGCACATATTTGGCAGCTGTACCTGTTTTTATTCCGGCTCTTCAGCAGCAGCGGCTCGGGAGCCATTATTTGTTTATGTATACAGCTTGTGCAATGAGGTACTTCAGTCCATGGCAGCTGTTGACTTAGAGATCTTGACAAAGCATTCAGAGGTAATCAGCAGACAAAGCCCTCAGTGACTGACAGGGAGATTGGGTTGTTTGCTCCTCTGTGATATACCTGTACACCCCCTGGAGCAGGCCAGATGTGTTGGTTTAGCGATTAGCAGAGGCTAGGAGTGATGAAGTCAACTAAAGCACTCACTATTTGTTGAGCGGTCAGCGGGCAGGTGGGAAACTGTCTATTGTATGTTAGAGAAAGAAATTCCTGAAGTAAAATGTGGCTTTCAAACGTTTATTAATCCTCGTCCAATACAAACTCTGAACATGCTGTTAAAGGAAAAGGCAGTTGTTATTTTATGTTGTTCTTATTGTTAGCAAAAGCCATTAATAAAACAATGTCCTGTCTATGGGACTCAACACCAGGCCCATTTTTAGTTTATCTTTAATGTTTGGCAACGCTAGCGGCGTAGCTGTGGGTATTGCAGTGTTGGTGATTCAATCCATTACTTTGGTTCCGACTGAAATATTGAATAGATTGCCATAAAACTTTGTACAGACATTCAGGGTGAATGAACTCTAAGGATTGTGGCGATCCCCTCTCTTTGTATCTGGTGCACCTGCAGGCCATTTTTTAAATGTATCCAGTACTCTGGTTTATGACCAAATACATGCAAAACTCTCAGTTGTACTTTGTTTTTTAATATAATTAGCATATATTAGCATTGTCACTATGTGCAAAATGAACACAATAGACACATACAACCCCCTTGCACATGTACATTCACAGATCTGTGAAGTGATTTGTGACTAAACATAAAATAGTTGCCGCTCCAAACTTGTAAAATCATGTCTGCGAGTATTATAAATTGCTATGTCGTGTTTTGGTGTCTGCTTAGACTTTATATGCATTCATCTGTTACACCAACTAGACTTCCTGGATCATATTTTATATCTCACTGCTACCTAAAGCAACACAGCCCCACCAACACAACCTCCTGTGCCATTTTTTGGGTCTGAATCCCCACTAAGTATAGCCACATAGAGCTGTTAGCATGGCGATAGACTAAAACAGGATCAGTAATCTCCTAAAACACCTGGGCACTGTAGTTTTTAGCAGATATTACTCAAACAGGAGTAAATAGTGAATCTGTTTGCTTATTTTAATCTGCAGATTAACTCTCGAACTCTAAACTAGAGTGGTTGTGTCCATCGTAATGAAGAAACATGTCAGCCAATGCAACAGCGTTCTCTGTATGTTTTTAGACAATGGAGTTTTTAAGGCACCGAGGAATATCAGTCTTTGTCTTTGGTTACACAGATAATACTTGGTAGTAGTAGTAGTAGTAGTAGTAGTAGTAGTAGTAGTAGTAGTAGTAGTAGTAGTAGTAGTAGTTGTAGTCAATTCTTAGAAGGCGATTGTTGACAATAGGAAAAAGCTCATTTTTGTCCGCGTTGAATTTAAAGATGGGAAACATGGTTTCTCATAGGACTTCCTGCTGAGCAGAACCTCCCTGTTCATTTTCTCATGCCAGCAGCGAAACAGCACAGTCATTAGCAACGAGATTACATCTGGAATCCGTTTTTTCCTCAGTAATATGGTTAAGTAAATTATATTATACAGGGACTAACAGTGGTATGGGCAATGTGAAGTTTATGTTGTGTTGATAGCTTGAGCTTAAGAAGTGCTGATGGGGGAAAAAAACTTGTTTTGTAGCACAGTGTAGAAGCTCAAATCTGGCTCCATGGGACTTATTTAGTACTAGAGCTACATGCAACTTTAATATCCTATAAGCCATGAATGATTTGTTTTCTGCTGAAAGTGTAATTGCTTTGTTGTTTGTTTTGTCAGTTGTTTGACCTTTTAATCTTTTGTAAACTTGTAGTTTAATTGTTTTACTCTGACCTTCATATTTGTTGTTTTTTTTTTTGCATCTAAAAATATGTAATTTTTCTGTTTCTGTAATTTTTCCTGCAGAAGCTCAAGCAGAAGAACCAGCAGCTGAAGCAGATTATGGACCAGCTCCGCAACCTCATCTGGGAGATCAACTCCATGCTGGCTGTCAGGAGCTGAGCCACACACGCTCGAATAGAAATTCATATATAACACACACACACACACACACACACACTCATACATTTACAATAAATAATGGACTAGAAGATACAGTCGGTAACTGGACATGTGACAGGGTCCCACAGACGAGCAGAGGCTGCACTTTACAGAAGAAATGGGGACTTTGGCAATATCAACCCCGTTTCCTGAAGAAGATGTGAAACAATATAGGCAAAACAAGAGGAGACAAATGAACACACCCACAGCTAGAGAGGTGAGGAGACACCCGATAAAACACTGGGAGAGAGGGTGCCGGTGACATCAGTGTGGACGATGGCAGAAAATATTCTGTCTACCTCAATATTCTACATTTCAATCAGCATTATGACTAAATTAATCAGAAGAGTTGATATATTATGTTTTATCTATTTGTAGGTACTAGCTCAATAGAGGGATTATGCCTGTAGAGACACATTGATATATTATATCTAATCATTTAATTCTGTATATCTGTTACTTGTCGATTTCATAGTATTAGTAGTGTGTGAAGTCCTAAATTTGAAAGGTTTTTATACGGCCCCTAAAAACTAATAAGAAAGGCATACACTGTGGCACAATTATGAATCTTATTCTTACTATACTGATCTGCTTTTTTATTTGATGTAATATGTAAACTCATCAGTATTCTGATCTGATTGGACATGGCATTACAATACCTTGTGAAGGATTCTGCTGAACTATAAATCTCGCTGTGATTTTTAAAAAAAGTCAAAGCAGTTTTGTGCTGTCGTTTTCATTCATTTGTGTATCTGTTGTGTATCTGGCCTGTTTTTAATCAAGCATCTCAGAGTCACTCCTAAGAAAAGTCTAGGACTAAAAAAACCTCAGTTTAGTAGTTTTATGACACTTGTAGAGACGTGTTGACAATTGTGGGTTGAAATATTTAACAATGGTAACATCCAAAAGCAGCACTTTTTATGTGTATTGGTAAGTGCAAATTGGCATATAAATGCAAAAATATGATGCCAAAACTAATTTAAGAGCTTAGATCTTGTTATTTATTAGTAAGCTATTCTCATGAGGCTCTAAGTAAACAATGACAAACCACTCAGGTAGCTTAAACAATAATTGTAGTATATACAATTTAAACTAGTAGACAGTTTGATTCAGATGTGTGATATATCCTAGTCAGCATTAATCCAATGCCTACATTGGATGTTGTCGTAAACATGGCTATGGGCATTAAAAATTAACTCATCTTTAAGCTACACGCCCTGTGAACTTATGTATTCTTACAGGTGGGAAAGATAATTTATTTGGGAACTGTAGCCCAACCCATACTGGGTTTATGAGGTTCAAACTGACCTCAATATTGAAGATTAAAAAAAAAAAAAGGTAACTATATATGGAACAATAGTAATAAGTACGTTTTTTTTTACATAACATAAACAATCTTCATATTGAGTGGGACATTTTACAGTGTACAAATCAACTTGCCAATGCTCTTTATCATATATACCGATACTGACATATTAGAGGTAAGCTAATATCAGCTCAAATGTCAACTTGGCTCTAGCTCTGTTGGGATTTACACTGTAACAATGTAAACGCACCTCTTAAATATAGCTCAACCATCTGTAATTTTAAACAAATAAACAAATTACTAAATACCTTCTAGATACATAACGTCACACAGAGTGGTTTGTAAGGTTTGGATCTGAGTTCTGAGATAAAAGTTTGATTTATTACTGCAGAATCTGTTGGCCGACAGATCCAAATCATCACGGTTGGAAAGCTGCATTTTCCCTGCTGTTGCTGTGAGGCTGCGAGGATCTCGGTATACAGAGAGAGAGTGTGCGCTTGCATCCTGCACAAGGACCATCAAACAATTATTTTAATAAGCTTGTAGTCATTAATGAACACCTCTCCTTCCGTGTGTACGTTTCTCTGCCTGAACGCCATCTCCTGGCAACTCCTAACAGGTTAGGAAGGTTGATAAAAAGCTTTTATTCAGAGGCCCAAAGGTAGGGCCAAAAATGTATTACACTGAGTTTTTAATGCCAGTTATGAGTGATATGCTCCTGCAGGATTTATGATAAATACTCTGTACATGTATGTTTGTATTTTTAACCATACTTTAAAAAAATAAATACAAATACTGGGTAAGAGAGAGAAAGAAGAATTCACAAAGGACCTCATTCAATACAAACATGACACATGAGCTCAAATCTGAGTACATGTGCGCGCACACAAACACACCCACTGTCAGGTCACAGATATGCATGAGAATATCAGTGTCAGATATGGGTGTGTTTAATAATTCAGAGCAAAGCCGAGGTCATATCTACGATGTGTTATGAGGCTATTGTCCTCAGGGAGACGCAGAAGGACAGATGCAGCATTGGAGCAGCGAGAAGGCTTTCAGCAGAGTAAAAAAAATATATAAAAAATCAATGCTCTGAGTAGTGCTTAATAAACCCCTCCTCAGTGGTCGAATACAGGGGTGGTTATTATATCTCTGAGGGCAATGCAGCATTGAGGGACTATTATTACTGTACAAATGGAGCCTGTTCTCATTCAGCTGAGGCAGAGGTCAGAGGCTGAGTACTTGTCCATGCACACTCTGTTGCAAATGATGGAGCGAATAAAAATGGGCAGGGTTACACTTTTATGTTTATAACGTGCACGCAAAACCTAGCACACACACACACACACACACACACACACAAACCAATCAGTTTGTGTGTCAGCGTATCCTCTTATGTTGCTGCAGTGTCATCATTCAGGACAAAATGAATCATCCCATTGTTTTAATTTACTTTTTTAGTGCACTTACTTTCCCTCAGTCTGTGTTGTGACTTTAACTTGGCCTTACTAAGTGCGTGTAGGTGAAGAGACTGATAAGAGACACTGCAGTGTAGTTGGACTTGACTACGTCCTGGTCTGCGAGGGTTTGTGCAAATTGTACAAAACCCTGGTCCTTGATTCTGATGAACTCTGACCAAGACTTGATGTTTCAGTCTAGTGCAGACTTTTTCCCACTATTTGCCTGTAACAAACACATTTTTGAGATCTGAGACAAAACCCTCGAGTCGGCTTGGAATCCGTGCTCACGGTGGGTTGTCTAGTTTGAGTGATTTTGAGATGTGATGTGTCTCAGATGCTGCAATTTTTTTTTAAACACACTTGACTTGAAAAGCTGAATAAAAGAATCAAGATGCCCTGTGGATGGTAGGGCTGTCTGTCATTTGAAACTTTTTGATACCCGAGTTTCAGTATCAAAATTATACTTTTGTTGATAACATAATTTGAGACTTTTTTTATACAAAAGTTCATTTTTCATTTAACAAACAAAACTAACAAACATTTGATTCAGATCAGGACCATATGACCGGTAAGCCTGACCACCAAAATGTAAAGAAATGCTAGAAATGTTTGCACTCATTTAGTCACCATTATATAGTTTGTCCTTCAGAAAGCTCCAAAAAGTTTATTTTCCAAGTGTAGAATGTTCCCCTCTGTACGTTTCTCTAACGATTCTTTAATAATCTTATTTGCTGTGTTGTTAAATTACTTTTAACTCTCCAAATATTGAGCGTTATTAGCCTCAAAATTAGCCTCAGATGGACTCTGAATAAGGAATAATTAAACAAGATTATGAATCTTACCACACAGTCGATGCCAGTTTTCCGTTGGTACCCAGCCCTGGTACATATTAGAGACTATCATGAGAGGCAAATCACAAGTTGTTTTTAAAGCAAACACAGCCTGATTGAAAAAAAAAGGCAGGATGAGATGCATTTATCATCAAATATGAGTTTATTTTTTATAAATCATTCTTACAAAATTGGCATTTCTATTTCATTTGTGACCTCTATAAAAGTCTTCTGTTAATTACAAGGTAGGAGGGAGGAGAAGGCATCGGGACAGCTGGGCTTGACCGAGTCCTTGCAGATCAACAGACGTTACTGCTGATTGGTAATGTGATACAGCCAATCACTGATAAATAATCCCAAACAGGAAGTGGTCATACGTTGTCGCCTTTCGCAACAGTGTCCAAACACAAAGATGAAAAGGGGCTGTTCTAATAAGAGAATGGAAGCTGTGACTCATCCAGTGTATGAAGGTAGGGCTGTTGGGGCCCTGCATGTGGCGCCCTGTCTACTGGAAATAACAAGTCTCGGACAGACAGTGCTCGGCATGTCAAGAACTCGCATGTTGATTTAAAAAAAAGGCACAAATCAAGAACAGACTAGTTTCCAGCACACGCCGCCGCCGCCACTATAAACACTAACTGCCTGGCACATTTTGGGTAAACCTTCTTCCATCTGTTTTGAAGCACACAATGATAACTTGCATAATGTTTCTCCCCACCGATCAAACGACTGATGTGACGGAGGTGTTTTTTTAGCGGATGCAGAGGTTTTCCCGGTGGCCTTAATCACATCCATCACACTCTGGACTGAGCTCTGGACTCGTTGATACAATGTGCAGCACGCCAACTGTAAGATGGAGCGGGTTTCTGTTGCCAAGTTATCTGACCTGAATTCAAGCTTTGAAATAGTCAATTTAAGCTCAACTGTGTCGCAGCCTCAGACCCATTATTGTAATGCATGGGGGGAAGATGTTACAGCAGAATCTGAAAATGTTTCCATCTGGTACACGGGACCCAGCTGCTTATTATTTTCCATGTTTCAGTTGGCATAGTCTTTATTGGGACTTTGCAATTTGACTCCCGCGGAGAGCCAAGATGGTGCGGCCCAATGCAATTCTAGATCACCGGTGTATGCAATCTTTTAGAGTTAAAACTCTACTACTGCGACTCTGAAAATGTTATATCTCTCTTGGGGAGTTTTGTATGAGACAGAGCGTGATATATGTTTCCCAGGAAAACCAATGCAGAATGAAACATAATATGAGCTGTATATTGGCATCTTTGTGGATTAATGTGCACAGCGTGTAGAAAATAAACTGAATAAATACCATTAACTCCCCTCAGCGATGCAGCATCAGTCTTATGTTCTCACCACGTCATCTCAAATTGTACGCAGTCTTTTTTTTTCTTCAAAAAATAAATATATGCCTATGTACAGTGCTGGGAGTTGCAAGGATTTTGTAAAATATTTGCAATGCTGGGGGCTTTCTTGAGATGATCAACAACAGTGATTCAAATGATCAAACATAAAAGGCTTGATATGGATTCAAACAATATGGTTCTCTGAAGATGAAATACGGACCAGATGCAGACCGAGTGAGGAGTATGTTTTTCCCAGAATCACGTGTGGGATGTGAGTGAACATTTTCTGTCGTGACTCCGCAAAACAGATCATAAATCTCTCCTGGCAAATGAATAACACTCCAAACTTTAAGTCGCAGAATGTAAAAACAAACATGATATTCAAAACAATGAAGTGAGGAAAAACAACAACAACAACCATGATAGTCCTGCTGGGTGATATGATATGCTGAAACAGAGTAGCTTTGCTGTGGTTGCGCTTGGATATGACACATAGCATGAACATAAACTTTGTTGACACTGTGAAGGCTTTATAATACATTTTAACATAAACCAGAAGAAAATGAAAACAAATCAATGAAAAAAATAAACTTAAAGTAAAACAGTCATTGAATGTGTGACACTGATATTGACAATGTTGATGACAGCTACTGATTAACACACACACTGAACAGCTTTGGCTGAGACATTAGGCTGAATGCCTGCCAGACAGAAAGGCCACTAAAAGCATGCCGCTTTCATTCAAGTGTTTGAGAACTAAATGTGAGAGTGGACTGCCTGTGCTCTCTGCCTCATGCTGCACGCTGACCTAATGACAATGTGCAGCAGTTCCGATACAAGAGAGCCATTTTCTCTTCGAAATGATCAATTAATGGCGCGATAGCTAGTTATTTTAACATTTTGATCTGGTGGTCCAATACCAATAAGGTAATTAAAGGTGCAAAATGTCAGGCGGTTTGATGTGGATACAACAGCGATGTGAGCAGCTCTTATAAGTAACTGACACGCAGGGGTGAGGGTGTGTTGTTGGGGGGGGGGTGGAGCTGTCCTTCCCAAGGCTAGCATTAGCCAGCAGGTCATGTGTGTCACTGCTTTCACAACACAATGGTCCATAATGTTAGAGTGTTTCATCAACAGCTTGTCCCCTGGGAATAAAACAGCACTCCAAATGAAATAGGTTTACCTAATTGAAGCCCAAACGTATCTCTGGCTGACAAATGGAGGAGAGAACCTTTTGTCAATTTAATGGCTCCGAGGTCCTCTGATATGTCACGAAAAAATAAAAAAAATATCTCATGGTGGCAGGAGAGCCACATCGGACTGATGACTAGAATATTTCAACACGAGAGCGTCTAGCCATCTCAAACTGATGTAGGCAACGTGATGTGCAATAAACAATTTTAAAGGCAGACCCTGATGTCAGAATGGCACTGATGCGCTCAGCGTTAAAAATCTCTCTACAAGCACTCCTGTGAAATGACGCTGGTCGCTAAAGACCAGCTATGGTTTGAAATCTTATTCCATTTCTCCCTGTAAGGATACTGCTCCGAGGCCATGCAGGAAGAAATAAATGGGCGAAACGAGTTTGGGTTTGAATGCAACGTTCTGCTCCATTTCATCCAGAAATGTTCATTTCGCTCATTCCAACGGAGGGAAAATGTACTCCGCTTGAGCTTATGGTTGGATAGCCAACTTTTCAAGGCTCTGTACACACAACATGCACGCACACATAAACACGCACACACACGCGGAACAGTGAAAGTACAGAGTTTGAAGGGGGAAGTAAAAGATGATGAAAGTAAGTGAAAAAAAAGATGAGAAAAGTACAACTGCTGTGGTGAGTATGAGAGGAAAATGGGATATGAAACAAGATGTTTTTCTAACTTATCTTAGTAATAACAGGGAAGCAGATAGACCATTATCAAAGCCATATCAGCACATCAAGGAATGAGCCAAGGATACGTCAGACAGGATGTTTCAGACTTCAGGCTCAAGGATGTGTGTCAATAGCTAAGAATTTCTGGAAAATTATTCCTGCTTTTGCTAGGAAAACCTTGTCAGGCCACTGTAATAAAAGCTTGGACTCTGCTGCCTACCTTTTTCTGCCTTGAGAATGAAAATAATAAACTGATGACACTCTTATTTCAAACCTCTCAGAGAGGAGAAAGGGTCAACAGTGATACCAGAGTGCTGATTTGTACAGAAATCAAATCAACTAAAGAACAGGGTTTCCTGGGCTATTAAGCAGGGGTTTTGTAGTGAGTCCAGTATTACGTCCTGATGTCCAGACTGGGGGAGGGTTGCTAGGGGCGACCAGTAGGGTTTATGGTGGGTGGGTTTGCCAGGTGTGCGATCGCAGACACCTTCCCTCTTCTACCGTCCTGCACGTGTGCCGAGAGAGCAGGAAAGTCAATGTCGTCCTTATTCATGTTGTACAAAAAAATATTCTATCCAAGAGTACTCGTCGTCAGTAGTGTGTGCTGTGTGTTTGCACATTCGCAAAACATACAGTACTGTTTGGCATGTTCATCAGTTTGTGTAGCTCTCTTTGTCTGTCTGTGTTTGCGGTTTCTGTTTTTCTGCGTTTTTTTCATATCCAAACGCCATCTGCTTGTTTCCTATTCATCCCATCCCGCGTCAAGTCCTGGCAACAGCAGTGCTGTGGTCATTGGCAATGTGCTGAGTGGAAGACAGAGCTGTGTCGCTCCCTGTCCATCCTGCTGTAGTCCTACTACTCCTTCTACTCTCCACAGAGTCTCTCTCTCGCGCCTCCCCCTGCGTGGGATCTCCCCCGAGGGGGCGCCGGTCCTGTCAGAGCCTCTCGATGTCCCTGTATTTCTTGCGGAGAATGGAGACCTGGTCCTTAAACAGGACGGGGTCCAGCCTCATCTGGGAGTGGACCAGAGGCATTGCGCCAAACCAGCTGGCGAACTTGTTCATGCAGGTTTGCCGCTGGGCAAAGTGATCCGGATCAGCCCAACGGGAAGCCCTTGAAGACTGGTGAGAATGAAGAGGAGGAGAGAAGACAAACGAAACATTTTAGAGTCATATTATCAGTGAAATTTTATCATTTTTATTCAGTTTTATGAATAATTATTGCTTTAGATCAATGATTCCCAACCGCTGGGTACTTGTACTGCAGGGGATACTTCTGATGTTACTTGGGGGTACATGAAAAGGCTGTAGCTCAGTTGAGTTGTAAAAATTCTGATTGTATATATATACACACACACACTTTTAATAGTTAGCTAAGAATCCACGTAAATATCAACAGTTCACTCATAAGTTAAAATGTTGTAAGAATATCCATGTTTTACTACTTTGGATTAAAAAAAACCCCACTGCTTTAGATTCTTGGAGGGAAAGAGACGTTCTCATTATTCGAAAAAGACAGACAATAACAGTCATCTGCATTCTTTCATTCAATCTTAGTAACAACTTCAGACACTGTGACAAGAGAAAACCATTACCATTACCATGACGACTGGCATTAATGTTTCTCAATAAATCATTAGCTGGATCATATTCTATATTTGGGAGAGTGGAACCCGACTAGAAACCATGACGCAAGGCATAAAACCTGACAAGACTCCTTTCTGTGCTTTTGTCTCTCTGCTGTAAGTGACTTGTCCTGTTTACCCCTGGGTCGTACCAAAGAATTTTGAGAGAATAATTCATGTTGTTCATAAAGCGGCAAGAGTTCGCTCCAGCTGAAGGGCCGTGACACACACATGATGGGAAGAAAACAACTCTGGCTTCGGCAAGAATCACGATTTATAAACAGGACAAAAATCAAAATGGATTATATAATAAGTCTGTTTCAAATCCAAGGTTTAAGATGGTTATTAGTTCAATCAAATCCTGTAATGAGTTTTTATTTAATGCAAAACAATTCTCTCAACTGGCAGCTGTTTTGTTGTAACAGCTCTAATCAATCATCCAAATATATAAATGCAATCATAAATTTAAAAAAAACCATGAATCCACTCATGAAAAGGGTTTCAATTACCTGTCCCATCATAGTCTCCTTGTACTGCTTCTTCTGTGTGACCTTAATGGGCGGCAGCTTGGTGACAGCAGAGACCAGGAAGTTCATCAGGATGTCCTCGCAGTTGGCCAGCTGGTCCACCATGCTCTTCAGACTTGTGGGTAAGTAGTTGGTGTACAGGTGATGGTAATACCTGCGAGAGACGACAGGAAGGAGTTACAATAAGAAGAGGGAACCGATCTGGGTGGGTCAACAGACGAATGTATCAATGACAATGTGGAAACGATGTGAAAGGGGTTGCTCATAGTGATAAACCCGCAGAGAGTTATCACCTGAACGCCCTCAACTTAAGTGTTGTTTGTGCAGTATGTAGTTATTAGCAGTGAAAAAGCTCTAAAAACTTACTGTACACTACCTGCTCAGCACCAAAAGGCATATAACCATAATATAACCATATAACAACATTGAGCGACTAGCTGGTGAACATAGTGGAGCATTAATTCGGAGCCAGATAACTTCCCTCAGAGAAGAGAGAGCTAAAAGAGAGTGAAAAGAAACACAACTCAAAACTAATGATAATGTTGCTCTGTAACTGCGGGATGCGTAGGCAACTGTATATCAACGTGGATTAAAACAACCGCCAACAGAAGCAAAACTAAGAGTCACAAGGTCAAAGCGTTAAATGGAAAATAAAGACAAATGAAGGGTGTATCCACATGGCCTTCTTCCAGAACACATAACTGCACATTTATGACCTAACATCCTTTGGTCCTATTCAATTTCAGGGTCTTTTTCTTCATTTCCTTTACACTTTCCCTAGCACACATTAAAGTGTATATTGATTCGCCAACGTTCATTCTACTCCAGTGTCTGCGCACGACGCTGATTATGTTCACAAACTCTCAGAAGATTGTTTTTGGATTAATGCCTGGAAACTTCACTATGAAGGTGAATAATCCCAGAATTCCAGACCTTAAAAGATATCTGGAGACTAGTGTATGTAACAAGGAACTGTGTGGACAAGTTAATTTAAACGCATCACAAATTTAAGACCCCTTTATGTTCCAGGTTGAAGCCTCCGGGTAGAACTCTAAATTCATCAACAGGCCGATTGCTCAAGTTCCCGGACGGATTGAACGACAGACTTATTCAAAGTGATTAAGCGTTTGGCTGCAGCGATTGGCTGACTACAGCTTAATGGTCTGCTCCCATCACAGCTGAGTGAAGCCATATTAAAGCTGACAGGTCTGTAGTATGACTAAATGCAGGAGCTATGGAACGCCGTGTAGCAGACAAATTGACATTTTTTGGATAAAACATACACGTGTCAAAACACCGGTTTCCTGAGGCTGCATTACACCGAACATCACACCTACTTTCAAAACCTACAGATCACTGCATCAAAGTGTTGTATCAAAGAAAGACAACTGAACACCGGAGAGCAGAGTAGAGCAAAGCTGTGATCCCCATATAACAGAAAGGTAACAGAAAAGAACTAAGGAGCATGAAAGAAAACAAAGGAGCAGAGCGAAACAGTAGAACTGCCGCACATTGGAGCTCAGAAACCGATAATGTGAAGTGCTGTACCTGTGGTAGATGGCGGCTCCAGTCAGCACCATTGAATAATCGTTGGTCCATTTGGATGTGTAACCCCAACGCTCCTTGTTGCTGTCCCAGAAGTGGCTTCGGGCGGGGTACCCCACGATTCGCTCTGGAAAACTCTGCCAGACGGTGAAGGCAAAGTCCACCTGGACACACAGATTCCACCATATTATGATGAAGAACACTTAACATATGCATAATGGGTACCATGTCTTAATAATTCACCCTTTCTAAGTTGTGTATTAATGATTTATATCAGTTATAAGCAATTAATAACCTTTGGGTTGCCAGGTTTATCCTCCTTCAGTACATGGCCTTTTTAGATTGTTCTTGTATAGCTCAGGTGGACATCACAGTGCAGGTTACTAACCTGTTTTGTCTGACAGACCCCCACAACCCCTTTCAGATGAACTCAAGTACCTTCAACCATTGATTTATCTATTGATGTTAGCTAACTTTTTCTCTTGCTAGGTATTTATGCACTCTCAACACATGATGTTTACAGCAAGTTACAGCCCTTTTTTTATTTTTTATTAAAATCATTATATCTACTTTTTCAAATTAGTTTAGCTATTCCACAATCTTTCCAAGTATCCCCTGGCAATACTGCTCTAATAGACCACTGCAAAACCTGCAGCGTATCTGGACTAAAATCAACTCCAGACTTGATGGCTTATTAGAAACTGTTCTCACAAGCAGAATGGAACAGCATCATTTATAACAATTATTACCAAATAGCAAGGATAAACATCTGCAAAAGGGATTTGTTCACAACCTGGCAACCCAAAGTTACTCTCATTAATGGATTATAATTGATATAAAAAGCATTAGTAAGTTATTAACTATTAATAAAGCTATTATTACAACACACCCCAGCAACACAAGACAAAACTGACAGAAGAGTATTCCTGAAGGTATTCTGTATTTAATTTTTTTTTTTACATTTAAAACGTGTAATATTCTCTTAGAAATGTTCATTAATCTTCCAAAAGTTGTAACTTACAGTATGTATTGTGTAAGAAAAGAGACAGAGAGAAAGAAAAACACTACAGGGAGAACTAACAAACGAAGTGCACACTCAAACACGCCATAGTGAAAATACAACAGAGGCAAAACCTCATGAAACACAAAGAAGTCATTCCTAAGCAGCTGCCTGCAGCCAACTTCTGTGGTGGCGATCAAAGCATTCAATCAAATAATTAGACGGAAACATCAAAAAGGGCCTCGGCAGCTCCACAAACAGCTCGCTCTACATTACAGCACATATTACCATACTATACTACGCTGGGAGAGTGCTTATATTAATGGATACCTATGTCAAAAACTACCATAAAACACAATGCACATCATTTTTATCTGCTCTTCCTGCCAGAATGTGTGCATAGAAACAAGTCCCGAAGGTAAAGAAGAAGAGCTCTGACTCTCTTTTGTGGTTTTCAAAGCAAGACAAAGCTAGTTGAAAGCCAATACAGTTACAAGGGGAAAAATACTGTGATCAACCAGTATGTTGATGTGAATCAAAAGAAAGTATTCCTGGAAAAATGGGCATGTTGGACCATAAAAAAACAATGAAAATCATCCAGAAGAACTGGGTGCTAGTTTATATTTTATTTAGAGGGTCAACTCTCCTCGCAATCTTCACTTAAGGGTGAAGAAAACTGAGGAAGCGGATGAACAAAATGAGGATATTGTTCTTGTTGAGAGGCCAAATTGTCGCTTTTATGCTGTCAAGTTAAAGATTTTATATGATGGGAAGGACGGAAAGACGAAGAATCATGACGCAGAAACCTGTGATGGTATTTTTGGCTGAAATTTTTTTTTTTACTTGCGACGGCACTGATGTTCCCTGGGCTCTGAAACTTTTGGGAATTGTTTATTTGTTTGTGATCCAACTGTCTTCATGGGAGAAACACGGGTCGATTGGGTTTTTTGGGGCTGGATTTTCCCTTCAACGCCAGCTCTGCCTTGCCATCTTGATCCTCCGCACAAACAGCCTTTATGAGATCTAATTCTGCACTGTTCAAAGCAGCATCTGGCTTCCCATGGTGCTGCGCCAAAACGTGTCCCCGGGAAAAACAGGAACACTCCTGACAGCATGTGGAGCAAAAAATGCCCATAACAGCGCTGTTCTCAAATTGGGGATTCGGGATGTACAGCGTGATTACAAACGCCACAACATGAGGTGGAAGATTGAAAGAAAAGAAGCAAGAGACGTAAATAGAGGCAGAGAAAGAAAGGCAGAAAGGGAAAAAAGTAAAGCACTGGGAATAAAAGTTAGAGTAGTTTAAGCGATTTAAAAATCAAGCTGCAGAGCGATAACTTGAAAACACCAGGGACAAACCGAAAGAGAGATAAAAAATTGAGAGAAAATGCAATCAGAGAGTTGCATTTGGGACACAGAGAGAGTTTGCAACTTTGTTTTGTCTCAAGAGGAGCAGACTATCGAGACGGAGAAGAGGGAGATAGAAAAGAGAGAAAGAAGAGATATTTTTCCATTCAACAATTATATTACGAGATACCTCTGTGGTGGACAACACTGTGTCTTCATCCAGGCTGAGAACAGCATCTGTCACTATGGTCTCGTAGGGCAAGAAACGACTGCTCATCACCTGCAGAGGGAAACACAGAGCGCACAAACGGTTAAAACCACATCATAAGAATGAGAACAGTTGGATGGCCCTCTTCAAACAGCATTCATTTGTGATCATTTGGTTGCCTGGAACACATTAAAGAGGCTGAAGGAGCAAATGTAGCTCTGAAAGCTGTGGATGGATGTCTGAAAACGGAGTAAAACAGCCCTTTATGGTCAGTAGAATTAATTCTTGAACGTTGTTGTCCCCATTTTTTCATGAAACTGCTTATTTGTGGAGGTGTTTATTCACCAAGATGACTTACATTGATTGTTTCCATGGAAACATTAAATTAAGAAGATTAAGAGTGTGGAGCTTGTTCAAAATATGGACTATTTTATCTGAGAATGCATTTTTAAAAATAAAAACATATTTTTTTAATGTTGACTCTAATTTCTAAGCAAGCAAAATTGCCATCATGTTTAAATCCATGCATCCCTTCATTTTCTGCCACTTATTTAGTCTCAGGGAGCGGTGGCTGCAGATTTCAGCAATGTAGCCTAGATGACCTTCTCCCAAGCCACATCCTTCAGCTCCTCCTCGAGATTCCCAAAACGTTACAAGGCAAGATGGGATACTCTATGTAATCCCAACCAGCATGTCCTGGGTTTGTCTTGGGCAACTTGGATGTGCCCGAAAAACCTCCAGAGAGAGGCAACAAGGAGGCATCCGCATCAGATGTACAAGCAAGATGTCCACAAATGGCAAGTCTAATTGTTTTTCTGGCCACTTGAGGGCAGCAAAAACAAGCTAAACACATTTTCAACTTAGTAGTTTGCACATCAACCAGACACCGAGCAATATTATAGTAACATTTGGAGTTGTGTTTGTATCCACCTAAACAAGTCAATCTCAAAGTTTTTCTCAACGAGTCTGAAAGGTAGCATACAGCTGTGTTTTTTAGAGCTTCTTTTGCCGAAAACAGCAGCTATTGTGGCCAAAAATGACGCTGTGAGAGCGAATCAAAACAGTAAAGTTGTGGGCCATAAAACCAGATCAATGATCTAAAAGACATTAAAATGCTCCATAAAGCAGTTCGCTGCGAGTTCGTTGTGATCAATATGCATGACCGCTCTCACATACAAGTAGTCGTGTTATCCATCCAATATAAAAAATATTGATTATAGATGCTTTATGGATGAGCCCAGCCACCCTGACATCTAATTCTTTCAATCGCTACCCAAAGCTCATGAGTTTGAAATGAGATCCACTCGTCAACCTAGAACCTCAATGTGAGATACGTTTTAGAATAAAAACTCTTCCCTGCTGTATACATTTTTAAAGATTGCTTACAAATTCATGGGATTCGAGGGAGACAACACAAGCCGTGACATCAACAAACAGCAGTCTTCCGAGAAGAAGAGAAAAGCCAATATCCTACGCTTTCCTGCAGGCTGCTCCCCATTGTTCTCAGTGATGGAGTGCTGATACAAGTTTCCATTACTACTGCAGGGTCGTCTTTCTATTTTAAATCAATAACAACACATAAATGCAGCCAGACACATACAGCTTGAGTCATGTGTCCTACATAAAGAACACATTTACCTTTCCCTCTCCGCCACTGTTGAAAACTAAATATGTATATTTAATGGCAAACTGTAAAACACATGATGGTCCTTGAATATTTACTGGAAGCAGAGAGTGTGATGGTGGCAGGGGTCTGGTGGGTGGATGGAAAGATCAACATCTCGAGGATATTAAGAAGTCTTTGGTGTATTCCTATGATGAGAAGCACTCGGATGAGAAAACTGCAGCTTCTCGTTGAGGGTGAATGTGTGTTTTGTAAACTGGATGTGTGCTCCAACTCAAACAACCTCCCACACAAACAAGAAACAGCTCGCCGATGCATAGTTTTAATGGTAGACACACAAACACATGCATAGACACGGCATTTATACATGGATGCACGCACGCACACACACACACAAACACACACACACAGCCTGGAAAAAGCCTGTTATTCAGCACAGCTCTGAAGGTCAGACCTCTGTAAGTATACTTTTAAAACACCACCTGCACTGAAAAGCCATTACATTTACATTTAAGAATAGTCAGTGTTGACCTCTTTTCTCTGTAAACACCTGGCATTGTCTGCCTGCTGCGCTCCAGCAGAGTGACCTCACTCTCAACAGGTCTTCATCACTCCTACAGCCGAGGGCAGAAACTAACACCACGGAAAATGAATTCATGGCTTTATTGTCAAGCTGTGTGAAGCCTGTTTTCCACTAGAGTGCTACAACTAAAGGTTACTTTAAACCACAAAATATCACAAAATATATTAATCACACTCTCCCAGTGGCCAAGGTGGTGTCTTCAAATTGCTTATTTAATCTAACCGACAGTCCAAAACGCAAAGATTTTTAATTTTACAATTATATTAAGTATCAGATCAAGTCAAGAAGAGTCAAATCACAAACATCTGAACCAAATACAACACAGATATAATTGATTAAAAGCGTCCCTAAATTCATTCCCGTTCTAATTGTAATTAGTGTTTGTGATTTGGTTGCTGCAGACTGTGGCTACAGAATAAAGATGTTGTTTTGAATGATAAATCCAATGATTTATGAAGGTCTATGACTGAAAGTTTGCAGGAATTTAACCCCTTCTTTTGCATGATTTGACTTCTTGTCTAATGAGCACCTGGTAGACAGGCGTGTAGCCTGTCTACCAGGTGCTCATTAGACAACACTTAGTGTAAAGTTTACAATCATGTAAGCTAGAGAAAGGCAACAAGTGTTTATGTTTGAAAAGCTAGAACCTGCCAAAAATGTTGTGCCCTAAACATCTAAACTATTAATTGGCAACTTAATAAGGAAAAAAAATTGTATTTAAAACATTTAAATACTGTTTTAAGGGCTCAAATTGAGATAAGACACTTCTTTTTTAGACCTGATTGTACACTGTACAAGTTTTTTGGCTTATTTTCTTATAATTTATACTAGTACAGCTGTTCCCTGAAGTTGTATGTGTTCATAATCAACGTGGGTCAGTTTGGTGGTGAAGAATGAATACAAATAAAAGTCAAAAAGGCAGATTGAACTTACATAGGTAGTTATTCTAATTTTCAAAACTGTAAATAGTGAATTAAGGACTTACATTGGGATAATCTAACCCTTTTTTTATATCTACCGGTGCTTTGAAGAAAAACAAGAAAATTAACAAGGACTAAAGAGCTTAATTTTACATCTCCCCATTTCCAGCTCCCACCACCTCACACAGTTGAGTCTTCCCAGAGCTTCTGGGGCGGATGTCAGCAGTCGATGAGGTCAAGTGCCGTCTACTTCTCTACTCTTCGAAAACCCTCCAGAGGCAACAACAGCAGCTGAAAGTTTTGACAGTCGCTGTGTGGAGGAGCCGAGGTTTGTGAGTGACAGTTGTATTTACAGACGAAAGAAAAGGAGAGGGAAAATGAGAGGAAAGAGGAGAGGCCGTACCTCCCTCTCATTTCTAGTGTCATCATTACTGCTGCAATTTCCTCACGGGCATGAAGAGAGAAAGAAAACAATCCCCTCTCTCCGCTCCGTGTTTTCCACTTGTTTTTCAGCAGAATGTGTCGGAGACAATACCAGCGAAGAGGAGTTGGTGAGAGAGCGAGAAAGGAGACAAGAGGGGAGGAAAGTGACAGCAAGACAAACAACAAAAAGAGAGAGAGAGAGAGACAGAAAAAAGACAAAAGACAGAAAGAGAGGATGAGAGTCTGGTGTTTCCAACCCCCAGATGGTTTGTAATGTTAGAAGTGCGACATATTAGCCTGGGGCTTCCTGGTGCTCTCCAGGAATGTGAGCTCTTGCAGCAGGAATCTGCCTCCAGCACTTCACCTCCTCTCTAAAGGACAGCAGCAGAGGAGAGAGACAGTGAAAGGAGAGAGGAGGGCCACCAGAGTATGTAAACCACATTAAGCGTCGCTGGGATTCACACACGGCTTAAGTCAACAGTCATAAACCAGCTTTTTGGCCACCGTGCCAGAGAGGATGGCAGAGGGAGGAAAAGAGGGAACATTTTTAAAGGATAAGATTGGTGTTAGCTCATTTGTTCCTACTGAAGATGTAAATCATTTAAAAATAGGTCACAAATATATCATTTCCTTTTTAAAATAGGCTTAGTAATTTCCTAAAACAGCTGGGCACTGCAGCTTTTAGCAAATGTAACTCAAAAAGGAGAGAAAGGTAAATTTATTTGGGACTATTTTCAGCTGCAAGTTCCTCTGGAAAAAGATCCTTATGCTTATTAGCAACCATAGCTAATCCAGGGGGCAAATCTTTACTGTCAGGAACACACGTTTGAAAGGTTTAATATAAAATTGATATTCTTTGGCCTTAAAGACATAAAAGGCGAGGAAGATGTGTGAATTGAAAGGGAAATAAGTGAGGAAGTGAAGGACAGTCAGGCATATCCTGGAACAGTGTGTTTTTAAGGAACCTGTAGGGAGGTTTTCATGATACAATTACGGGTTTGTAGGCTGAGTCTGGTATTTCTCAATATATTTAAATTTTTACTTCTTTTAGGTCAACAATAAATAAATAAATACATAAGGGATTTCGATTTTTTTTTATTCCTGGCAGTGTGTATGCTTTGAATGAGAATTTAGGCCTTCGTGTTAGTAAATAAAACTTACTGACAAAAATAATAATAATATATGAGACATATAAACCATTTTATAAATTAGGGACGGGGGGGGACTTAGACTCACCTCAATATTTCTAAACTTCTGGCTATGGTCCTGAAGAAAGCATGCAAAAAAAGCTGAGGAGAAAGGAGAGGATGATGCAGCGATAGAGAGAGAAAGAAGCAAAAAAAAAAGGATGAGAGGAAGAGAAATGATGAAAAAAGAGAGGATCTGTGAGCGAGGAAGCGGATGAAAGAGAGAGAGGACAATAAAGAAAGTGGCAGGAAAAAGGGATGAAAAACCCTCTCTCTCTCTCTCTGTGGGGTGGAGGAACACAGCTTGGCTCGCCACAGTAAACACAGAACCCGCCACAACCACAACAAACCACAGGCCGCCTGGCACACACACCCACACCCACACCCACACACACACACACACACACACACACACACACGCCGGTACACTAAGCCTGTTCTGCTCACTTTTCACGGATACACAGCTACACACAGCGCCCTCCCGCTGTGATTGACAGCTTGGGAGAAACCACTCAGAGCCACGAGGAGAGGAAAACCATAAACCCAGCCTACCGCCGGGTGACTGACGCTGATGTGAAAACCACTTCCTCTGATTGACAGCTGAAGTTTAGTCCTCACGAGTGGAAGAGGAAGAGAGGACAGTGTCGGATGAGTCTGATGTATTGGAAATACAGATGAGCAACCAGATAGTGTTTCCTTTTTCCTAAAAAAAAACCAACAAAAAAAGAGCTCCAACGTGAGCTTTGGAAATAGTAAAACTGAGCTTGGAACAGCGTCTAGAGGCCTGAGTGTCCACCTTTGACTCTGACATGGAGAGGTCACAGGGAGGTTAAGATAAACACAGCAACTCCGTCAACAGGGCAGAGTCTCCAGCGTAAAAGCCTAATAAGGTTGTCATAATAAATGCCACTGAGGCATGCTCCTGGCTCAGGGTTGTGGGTTATGTCTGGCTGGAGGGTCCAAAGAAACAAATATGTCTCTTGTGATGGCGTCGCACGTAAAACATTATGTTTATGCACATTTCAGTTTGTTTTTTAAAAGCTCTGAGTCATATGTAAACCCTTTTTCTCCATGTGTATTTGAAAATGTGTGGTGAAGAGGATAGTTCAAGAAGAAATACCAGTAATAACATTAGAGCTGAATGGAGGAGTCAATTAATCAATCAACACAAAATGAATCATCAACTAACAGCATAATTGTCATTTTTCAAGAATTAATGCACAAAATTCTCCTGTTTCAGCTTCTCAGTTGTGAGGATTTGCCATTTTTCTCTGTTTTATATGATTGTAAACGGAATATTTGGGGGATTTTGATTGTTATTTCACCATTTTCATTTTATAGACCACCGATTAATTGAGGAAACAATCAGCACATATTGTAACTCTCTAACTGCATCCCTATCAAAACATTTTTTGTAATTATGACTTTGAAATGACTGCATGGATGTGAGGAACATGAGTCATTATACACATTAAGAAAAGTCAACCTGAAATATAATTAAATCCAGGCTGTAGCTAGCTTTCTGGGCATGTTTTCATTGCGTATATATATACGAGAGATTTTGTCACTCTCTTCAGTTAATTAGACAGTTTGGGTTATGATTAAAGTAAAGAATAAACAGCATAAACACATTTAAAATAAAAGAATGCTACTATGCATATGTGCTTCATTACCTCCTTATCTTTCCTAACAATATGCATCAGCCACTCAATGTATATTATTTCCATTACTGAGCTTTAATTAAAACCACACAAACTGTCTTTTAATGGAATCAGTGCAGCACAAATCGAAACTCATTAACTCCAAGAAACTCTCAGACTGAATAAAACGTGCCCACATACAGTATCTTTACAGTCTGCATAAGATGAGCTACCTAATTAGAAATGATAGCGATCGCACCTTTAAGGTAAGTGAGAGGAAAAGTGTGCGTGCTGCTCACCTTATTTTCTCCCTCGATGACGATGACGGGCACTGAAGTGGCAGGCCAGCGGTGCTTGGCAGGGAGAGGCTTGTCACAGTTCCACAGGACAATGATCTAAAAAAGAAAGAAGGAAGGTCTCATTACCTGCGCCAAATGACTGCATTGTATATAATTTGATTTCAATGAACCAAAATAACTCGCAGCACACCTCCCAGCATGTTCCTGAATCAACCCACTGAACATGTGACATTTACGTGACGTGCGGCACAGAGAATGTCGCCTTATTACAGGCTAATTGAATGTTAAAGAGCCAGAAGGGCAACTGAAGTGATAAAACATTTCCAATTAAGGTTCCAGAATGGTTTGTACAATTCAGACCATAACCAATCAAGTCACATTGTCAGGTTTCATTTCTAAGTACTACATATTACTGAACACATTTTCCAGCCCGTATGATGTCACGCTCCACCTCCAATCAGACTATGTTTTTACACGAAGGATTCGTGTTCTCCAGCCGCAGTCACATAGTGTTTTATATGACTTGGACTCAGCGACGTGCAGGTCAGCCAACACAGAAATGTCACACTGAGTTAACCTTCCCCATTCACTTCGGTAGCAGACCTCATTAATGTTTGATGAGAAACACATATATACATACACCTGACATGACTCCTGTCTGCCCTTACACACACATTTCCACAACAGTACACCCAGCCTGTTCTTCTCATTTTAAAGTTTTGGCATTTTAAATTACTTCCTCCTTCCCCAAATGGCGATTGTCCAATAATGGCTTAGCAACCGTAAGTAGACATGGCCGGCACCTGAAATGGGTACCGGCTGTACCTGCCACTGAGGTCCAGACCTCTGTATTTTTCAGAGGAGTTGTTGTTAAAATGGATTATGAATGGCAAAAGAATTAGGGTTATGTTGTGTTTAGGGTCAGGGTTGTGCTGAATTAGTGTACTGGCATACATACATACTCAACACTCACAGTTCATATTATGTTATTGTAGTTTATTATACACTTTTATTTTTAGTTTAGTAAATCTTGATTGATGTTGATATATTATCATTTGAGACATTAAGACAAGCAAATGCAAAGCAGAGTGCAATAACAACCAATATTAGAATGTTTTTATTTTAATAATAATAACAACACATCATCAGCATCTACTTTCAGGTAGTGTGTCAGCTAACATCTGCCCTGCTGAAATGTCCTTGAACGAATCAGTAAATTAATCCATCCCAGCTGACACTGCGCTCAGACGTCCCTGATGGAGGCGAAACCACAAGAATTTCCCTGCAGGGATCAATAAAGTTTCACTTCATTCTGACATTAACTACGTCACACACAGCAGCAGCTCCCCTCTGGGACTCTGCACCCTGACTGGACCTGCCAAATTATGAGCTGCGAGCCATTTGGATGTCTGTGTTAAGGTGTTGCCTTGTGACTACAGCAGATGTGTGTTAGTGGAGTGAAAAAAGAAAAAGATGACATGCAGCTGTTTGATTAAATTGCAAAATTATCTCATTATTATGGGCAAATATAGATAAAAAACAAAACAAGCTTCTTTCGTGAGGCAGAATCTGGGCGGAAAAGTGTTTGTCATTGTAAGATAACAACAGGTACACAGACTGGATCTACACACACACACACACACACACACACACACACACACACACACACACACACACACACACACACACACACACAGCTGAGAAAGGCGTTAATCCACCTAACAGGGCTCTATTCCTGTTTGATTAGAAAGACAGATGGTGTCTCTGTCAGCTCACTAGCTCTCTTAGGGCGCTGATGGTAGCATTGTGTACGTATGCTTGCATGTGTGTATATACGACTGGAGGAAAAGGGTGAAGAAAGTGTGTGGTGTATCTGTAGCACGAGTGGAAGAAACGCTTCGTGCACACATTCACACACGAGCACACACACTCAGTAGGAAGCCACTGCTGTGTCAGATGCAAGAAGCTTTCTTGTGTCCAATTTAGCCTCCTCCACCCTCTGTGTTCTTTCATTCTTCCCCTTTCATTCATTTATTTATATCCCTTTCCTCATCCGGTCGTAGCCCAGCAGCAACCCTCCCCCCTCTCCTTTTTTCTGAACGCCAAAAGTGGAAGAAAACACCCCGGCTGTGTACCTGGCTCTCCACTCTGCATGCACAGCCTGAAGAACACAAACACAAAAGCACCTCCATGAAAGTGAAGAAGAGAGAAGGAGTTTACTCATTCAAGCTGCTATTATGGGAGAGTGTTTCTAAGAGTGGTTGGCTGAAAGTGCGCTGATAACGGGATGTGTAGTTCTGGGCTACCACACAAAGATAGGACTGGATATTGTACCACTGTGGTACCGGCTGAAATGTATCTGAAGGACAAAAACTGTCAACAGTTGGCATCGATTGCTTTCTCAGATCCATGAGATGAGAAGTGTAACATTTGAGCAATTTGGCTTTTATTGGTCCAATGTGTCACATTTAGGAAGATCAACTGGCAGAAATGCAATATATTATTTATGGGCATGTTTTCATGTGTATAATTACTTGAATTTAGGAATCGTTGTGTTTCCATTACCTTAGAATGAGCTGTTTGTATCTACAGACACAGTGGGTTGCCATCTTTGAAGGGAGCCAGTATTTTGGTTGCCCAGAACGGACAAACCAAATACTACTCTTGATAGGGCATTTTGTGTTTTTTCACTAGTTTCACAACCACTCCTGCACACATCAAAGCCCATTCTCATTCCCAAGATGTGAAATACAGATGGGAGTTGTGTTCAGTCTGTTGCAATCTGAAACTTCACCACTAGATGCCACTAAATCCTCCACAAGGTAATTTAAATGAAAATTAAGGTTTTATGAAACAATATGTTTATATTACTTAAAATAAGATACTGAACAAAATGTTGTTTTGGTATCAGGACTGAAACCAATATATCATATCAGCACTAGTATCATGGATTTCAAATAGTACCAAGCCCTACCCACAGGGATATGCAGAGTCGACATGTTCACATGGATGGTATCTACAAAAATACACACATGGACAACCGCAGACAGAAAATACAAACAGGTTTAAAGCACACACGTACAAGCATCCGGTCTACATAAACACAAGTTCATATTGTATATTCTACTGCCCAAACAATTACACTGTTACGCATAACACACAATTACAGATCTGCACAATCATGCACAGCACTCACATGGAAACACACCCCTCCTACACAAAATACAAACTTGCTTACTCATATGCTCTGCTGGCCAAACAAACAAACAGAGACACACACATACACACCCACACACCCACACACACAAAAACCAGCCATTGGGGAGCCAATTCCATTTCATTTCCCGTGCTGGTAAGGAGCAAGCAGGGGAATCAATACATGCCGTCTCCAGCTGTGCTGAAGGGGGTTTCGCTGCCATGGAGACAGATGTAGCACCGCTACAAACTGCTGCTCTAATTCAATCCACCGAAGTTAAAAAAAACACACACACACACACACACACACACACACACACACACAGGGATGAAGGATGAGCGTTGTTGTTGCACTGGTTTGAAAATGCGATTGCAAAGCAGCCTTATGAGCCACATAATGCAGCGCAATTTGAGGAGTCACAAAGTGGAGATCAGGGGAGGATTCTGGGGGATGCTGCAGTGAAAACCACACACACACGCACGCACGCACACGCACACACACACACACACACACACACACACACACACACACACACACACACACACACACACACACACACACACACACACACACACACACACAAATCCTTTACCTGTGCACAATACTGGGATTTGGCCACAGCTACCAGGAGCTTGAGTATGGGCTGGGACTGGGACACCAGAGGAGAGACGGCATGGATGACCGCTGTGAACTTGGGGTATGGTTTAATACCTGAAACACAACAAAAAGACGGTCACTCATTAGTGCAGTTTAACAAATACAGAAAAACAATGCTGGCTGGAACACAGCGAGCCGACTGTCAGCCATCAATGCAATTTCAGGCTCTTTGAAGAGAATAAAAGCCTGAGCAGAAATGAAGGCTCTCATTCCAAAACACTTAATAACTATTTTCAGTGAAGGACGTTACTTGAAAAGAGTCTGTCAGTAGTTAAAAAATATAGATGATTTAATTGTCAGGGATGTACGTTTTAAAGCCAGTCTTAAAATATTCAGCAATGTTAATGTGTTTTGAAAATGCCAAATCTCTTGATCACTGAATATTTAATTTTGAAAACTCCTCAGCTGTATCTGGAACCCAATGAACAGACGACTAAGTGCTTATGTGACTTTAAATTCAGCCCGACTTGATGTTGGAATAGAGTAATCGAGGCTGAAAATGAGCAGGAAATAAGATATTGAGCAAGACGGATCATAGAGGACGTTCAACTTTTCCTAATTTAAATCTAATCTAACCCAAACCAACAAAGCATGGCGCAGAGGAGATAGCATTAGAGGAGTCTTCTGTCTGCCACCGAGCAACTTTTATGATGAGGAATATACGCCGTCTTAAAACTTGGTAAACTATCCTTGTGATTGTAATGAAAAAGTTAAGAGTGCGCAGAGTTTTTAAACACCTGGGATGTAAATTTATAACAAGCTCATAAACAGACTTTTCATGAAACATTGAACAAAACCTGGAGCAGAATTTGTTTCATGTGGCATATTTTAAATTTTGGATGTGCATGCTGTTTTCTTTAGCACAGGATTCTCTGTGGCTTTTTATCACATCCTGTATCAGCATATTGCACATCTCACCAGTTAAATGTTTATAGCAGCACAAAAGGCTAGTTTAGCACTGATTCTGCTATCTGAGACCATTTCACAGAGAGCAATTTTAACGGTTTAAGACAGCATTGTTCTTCCAAGTTGATGGCAACAGATTGAGGAAAGCCCCTTGCCTGCTTCAGCATGACAGTTACCCTGTGCACAAAAAGCAAGTTTATTTTGGTTTCTTGGTTTCGGAACAAATTGACAAGCCTGCACAGAGACCTGACCTTGACCCCATCCAACACCTGAGGGATGACACCCCACACCAACATCACTGGCTGACCTCGCTCATTCTTTTGTGGCCGAATGAGAGAAACTCCCAGCAGCCAGGCTCTTGTAGAAAGCCTTTACAGAAGAGTGAAGGCTGTTATAGCAGCATGTTAAACATTTTATTGGCATTGACTTTTCCCCATTAGAGTATAATAAAGTTTTGTTTTAAGTTTTAATTTATAGTTATAGAATTGAAATGATGACCATTATGTTAACAGTTCATAATGTACTGTTATCTTGGATTTACTGTTTACTATTGTTCAACTGTAATCTTTATATATGTATATCTTTACTTAACTGTTTGTTAATGTGAAAACACAAATGGTTAAATAAATATTGTTATTAGATTTTTATTATCCTCAAATATACATACTGTTATCAGCTTCCAAAAGCCAGTATCTTTCAGCTTCTAAATCAAACGTCCATTTTATTGAAGCAACAAAGGCAAACTCTGCTCTCGCTTTATGTGACTGAACGTTTATATGTATGTTGTGCGCGCCTGTTATTGGCTCGCAGAGAACAAGAGGAAGTGTCACTCGCCTTCTTTGATTTTACTCTTTTACCCATCAAAGAAAAGCCACTGTGTCTCCCTAAAACCCCTCCGTGTTTTAATTGCTTCCTCTTTGACAAACAAATAAACTTGCCAGCGCTGTAATCCAGGCCTGTCACCGCGCTCATCCATTTTAATATCAGCTCTCCACCCCGGGTGCTCCATCAACTGCATTTGCCCATACGTACTATCGCCGGCTGTGCGTGTACGAGCGTGTGTGTGCGCGGATGCTTGTGGCAGTGCTGGATGATGATGGAGTGAAGAAGTGAGGGATAGAGAGGTCCCCGGGTCACAGATATGTGGCGGGGGAAAACTCGGCGCTGCTGAACCGTTGCGGTAGCAGTGGTAGCAATGCTGACTCAAAAAACAGTGATGGACGGGCTGGTGTGTCAGCAAGACTAATACAAACATCCGTCAAAGGCTTATTCCTCCACTCCACTTGCTGCTAGACACAGCCATTCGAGGAGGGCAGTAGATCAGGGCTGGAGGCCATATTTTCTGCTGTTCAGACAAGGTCCAAATCCTCAACTGGACCAAAATCTATGGAAAGTCTTTTCTTGTAGAAAATATTTGGTGTTGGAGTGATGGATGGTGGAGATGCCTTAAGAGAAACTTTTCTCACCAACCGTAACAGATTCATTGCTACACAGGTGTGTACAGTAGAAGTGTGATCGCTGTTATGTAACGGCACTCTTTACAGTTTATGATGTGTGTTACTGACCCAGTGTGGCGTAGTAGAAGGGGAAGTCTCCCAGGTATCCGGAGTACTGCGGCAAGGCAAAGAGTCCCCCAGGGTGACTGTTCCACATCAGGCTGCTCCTGGAGCCGTGCTCCAACACGCGGTCCTGGATGATCTGAAACACCAAGAAACACAAATAAACTACTTAAGAGAGTTTGTGTTTAATTAATGTTCAGCGTCACATTTACGCGTTGCAGTTTCAACCAGTTTCTCAATTAAAAATAATAGTTTTTTCCTCTAGATGTTAATTAGTTGAATGCAAATTATTGAGATTGCTAATAGGATGATGGGACAAAATGGAAAGCCAATTATAGGAAATATGAAAGCTAACCTTGTGGTTGTTATTACTTTAACTCTGTTTCTTTGTTATTGTTCTACTACTGCTATTTCTGTCTACTCTGTACACAAGGCACCTATTCTTGTATGTTGCTCTTCTGTTGTTCTTCTGTTATAAGGCGATTACAGGATCTAAGGACAGAGCGTCATATGTTCTACAGATTGTAAAATGTTGAGACAAACTTGTGACTTTGGGATTGATACTGTAAATTAACCTGATCGAAAGACTAGAGCCCCTTCAGTACAAAATCCCTGGATCCTACACTTCCCATTAAAATACAACCCACTCCCCATTATACACTGTGGACGTTCATTTTAAAATAATTTGTTTGAGTTTAAAAGATTTATTAAGAAGAAATGTTTCTAAAAGTGCCAAATACTGCATATAGTGCTGAATCACATATAAACACATAAAAGATGATGCACAAGACATCTAGAATATTCATTAATCCACAATCTAACATAAAGAAGTTACAGATGCTGAGAAACTGGGAAAAAACAAGTTTGATCTAACTTTGAAGCTTTTCAGTGGGGACTTGAAAGGAATTTGGGTTGCTTTGACATCCACAAAGCAATTAATGGACACACTGTGTGTTGCCACAATCAAACTTGTGTCACTTTACTTACAACAGGGTCTCTGTATTCTACAGGCCACTTTGCCATTTGTGAGGCTTCCTTTGCAGGTCAGACTTATCCCAAAAAAAAGTAAGTAAAACTACCTTTGAATAACATTTCATTCAGATCACTGGGGACTCATAATAATAAGAAATATTTGTGCTGATGAAGGAACAAACGTTTGCCTTTCAGATTACGGTGGATGAAATATTAAAGATTTGATCAATGAGCCTTGTAATCACACCTATAAAACATTTCACACTGCGAAATGAGTTTTCACACACACAAAAAAATCCAAGAAGCAGATAGTCATAAATGTGAATGAATACCAACACAGCTAATGTTCCAACTTCCAATAACCTAATTTCAATTCAGAATGATATTCAGAGTATTCAAAACCCAGTCAGTGAGTGAGAGCGGCTGAAAAACCGATATAAAAGTGAGTCTGTAGGCGTTAGATGAAAGTTAGAAGCCGGCTGAGCTTTCAAAATGTTTGCTTTGTATCACCTCAATAGCGGCTATTGATCGTGTCAAGAGTGAATCGCTGTAGCACAAAGCTGAGCTGAAATAAATCCATCTTATTGTGTAATATTTCCTCCGCAGACAAACCAAATGGAGGTCTTTTTTTTTTTTTTTTTTTGGTAAACAGATCAAGCAAGTCAAAGGCAACTGCGCCGGGCAGTCACACAGACAGAGGCCACCGGAGAGAAAACAAAAAAAAGGAATAAAAAAAAGAAGAAGGGCCAGACAAAGCCATCAGCTGTATGTAAGCACCAGTCAGTCAGGCCTTCCCCGATCCTTTCTGTGCCCAAATAGAGCAGTCAGTCAAACTGTTGGATGTGAGAATGGCCGCTATTTCCCCCAGCTGCAGCTCGCTGAACGGGCAGGCAGAGGAAAGAGATATTGCTGCTGTGCCCTTGAGCCATGCCAAATTGCTTCAGTAAAACAGACACAGGTTTTGCGGCTGTGTTTTACGGCCTCCTTTGAATCGGGGACGTGACGGCTGCTGGCTTGTGAAAGAGTCCGGTGGACTGAGCAGCTGATGGCTGTACGAATTGTAAAAAAAGAAGTTAATGATAGAGCTTGGAGGGTCGCTTACTGTTAGAATATTGATAAAGCAACATCGAAATGCATCATGGGAAGGCGGGGATGTGTTGAAACAGCAGCATGTGAGTTTTTTATTTTTGTATTTTTTTACGCTCCCTAGCCTTGTCCCCGAGGGCAGTCGATAACCATTTGCCTCAGCTGAACAGATTAACTCGGAATCCGTTAACTTCTCTATAAAAACACTGCCTGCCACCTTAAAACACCCGGAGCCCTTACACCTTATGACGGGCAATTTTGCTCGCTTGGCTGCAGCTCCTCCCCCGTCGGCAGCCCTCAGTCGGGACATGATGGACGACTCAATCTCACCCCAGAACAGCCACAATCAACCAATTAGAGCATGATAGATAAATCCTGCTTCTCCGGGAGCACATTGCGAGCTTGGCTTTAATAGGTGAGTTTAATAGGTGTACCAGCAGCACAGTCCCGGCGAATATTGACCTTGTGATTGGTTGGAAATGTGTTTGCTTCCTGACGGGAAACACCGCATGATAAGTTTGAATTCGTGTTTCCTGCTCCACACACACACACACACACACGCACACACGCACACACGCACACACGCACACGCACAAACACGTGGAGTTTGGAGTGGAGGAGAAGTCAATAAAAAAAAAAGTGTGTTCCTGAATGTGTGCGGGGGAGATTCAATCTGTCAAGATGTCGGAGTGCGTTCATGTTTTTGAGTGTGTTTGTGTGTATCGTCACAGATCTGCAGTGAGGAAGAAGAGGAGGAGGAGGAGGAGGAGGGTTGCACATGCTCGAGAGGATGAATAAACCATGTTGCTCGTTATCTCGTGGGCTGCCACGGCAACGCCATTTACATATGTCACCCCTTCTCCTCTTCACCCTTTCTCACACCACTCTCCTTTTCCTTTTTTCCCCTTTTTTTTTTAACAGGACAGTCAGTCAGGATTAAATGTTTAGCCCTTGCTGCATTCAGTGTGAACACACACTCACAAACACACACTGAGTCACACTAGGGCTTTCGCAGTGTCACCTTGCTCTTTAGTGCGGAGTGACAACATGTCAGCGAGGTTATGCCCGGGTGGTGCCATTTGTATCTGGGCTGACACACCTTGACATATGGAGATGTGTGATTATGTGTGTGTGTGTGTGTGTGTGTGTGTGTGTGTGTGTGTGTGTGTGTGTGTGTGTGTGTGTGTGTGTGTGTGTGTGTGTGTTTGTGATAACGCACAGTGAGACAGGGCTAGATAAACAGACCAGAGATGCAGAGCTTGCGAAAAAATCAGACACTAGATACTGAAGCCGTGACACATTTGTGTGTGTGTGTGTGTGTGTGTGTGTGTGTGTGTGTGTGTGTGTGTGTGTGTGTGTGTGTGTGTGTGTGTGTGGAAAAGTCAAATTCAGATGTAAGATTTGGGAGGCGATACCATAAGTAAGATTGTGGGCATTGAGGGGAATCTTGCTCCGAGGCTTTAGCGACGCAGTAAGAGAGGAAATTAAATGCGTGATGGGAAATTTTGGTTCAGAGAGGAGGCATTTGTAACCACAGCGTGAAGCTAGCAGTAAGCCCAGGTGTTATCCCTGCATCTATAAACAACTTGTTTAAACTGAATAATGAGGGACGGGGATTGGACGGATAAATTGTTTTTCCAGTCAGAAATGTTTCTAAGCTGGATTGTGCCTAGTCAATACGCATGAAAACACGAGGTCAGAGGAAGGAGGGAGGCTTCTGAACATAAAGTGACACTCCACCTACCGTCTTATGTGTATAGAACACTTGTTGTAGTTTGTAGGTTTGTCCTTCACCAAGAGCAGCAGCTGTTATTGAATCAGATGAATTCTAACAGTGACCCGTTCATGGTGGTGAAAAAGCCTTATCCCTTCTTTTCAAACTTCTCAAAGCACAAATACTTCACAGTCAGAATTGCTCTAGTCTACCCTGATGAACCTGCCTGCAGCTCAACACTGGTGTGAATAACTTTTCAAGTTTACATGCACATGTAGTGGGCCGGAAGTTCATTTAGGCTTCAAACAAAAAAGCTTATGGGATTGTCGTAAGGGTCCCTCCTCACCTTTCTGACATTAAAATTATTGGGGGCTGCGTTCAGCAATTTTTGTAACCATTCAAGTTTCAAAGTTTTTCATTCCTCACAACTTCTTCTACTTCTGCTGGCTTTTTGCCTTGCCAGTGTGACTATTTGGAACAGCTATAAACACTTTTGCCTTGAGACGTGGTTGGATAACAAGCTGTATGAACTAGTTTGTTTCTTATTGCTTCCATAATTTGGATCCAAAAATGACTGCTTTGAACACACAAATCACAGAAATGTAAACGCAATGTGAAATATGCTATAGGGAGTGTGTGAGAAGTTGGTATGGACCTTCATAAAACTTTATGAAAACTCAATGAAAACCATACGTCACTATAAGTTCATACTCTACTCTGGTGCTTCTGAGAAAGGTACTTTTAGGTAGATTGCAGAGAGTCCGCGGTGACACTGCAGCCCTCTGAGTAAAAGACTGGTGATGGAGGAGTCGGAGAGAGGAAGGCAGAAAGGGCCAAAAGGGCGGGCCATTGTGTGCATGTGTGTGTACGTGAATCCTCACCTCCAGCGTGGTCAGCACTATCTTTTCCACAGAGGAGAAGTAGGCCTCCCATAGGAACTGAGTCTGCTGTCTGAGGGACAGGATCTTATCCTGGTGGATGGAGCGCACCGTGGTCGGAATCTGCAAACGACAAACAACAGTCAGTCAGCACTCAGTACTGATCTGGGACGAGAAGATTAAAATTGGTCCCAGAGATACACTAAGGAAATTCCCATCAACAGATAAAGCACATTGAGGTGTGGAAGGCTTGTGGGCGGGAGCAGATATTGCAGGATTTTGAAGTAGTAGCCACAACTGTGTCCCAAGCCGAGTTGAGTCACAAGCTTCAATAAATAAACTGCAAGTCAGTTGCAAGTCTTTGAATGCTGACCATTAAAATAACATGGCATGGGATCCCATAGTTTTTGCAGACAAACATACATTGATATATACATAATATGTGTTGTATGTTGTATGCATCCTGGCTAATCACATTGTGAAATCAACGGACAGATCCGGGATGGCTCGGGCACGCTGGTGCTGCACAGCTCTGATTGGAGCTCCTACGTTATAAAACTCAATGTCAAACAATATTATTACACACTTCATTCAAATTAAGATTTAATGGGCATATAATTACTTTTCCCCCATGAAGTTCAAGCAATTTCAACCAAATCCATTTGCTCATTCTATTTATTTGCGCTCTCATATAACAATGTGCGGTTTGAGTGACATTTTCAAGCAGCCAAGGACTTGGTATGCTGCTTGAATTTTGTTTTGCTGACAACCACTTCGCTAGAAAACAAAACAAAACAAGATCTCGGATAATATCAGTGGAGAGAGAGTGTGTGCTCAGGATATCGACAGTCTTGTTCCAGGTGTAGGGCCTGCTTCTGTTTCTCTGTCTGGTACAATTTTCGGGTGATAATACAGAGCAATGTGTTTTTTGCGAGTGCTGTCTTTGGGCCGTTACCTGCAGCAGGAGCCTCTCGTCGCCGATGACTGCGGCTGTGTTCCAGTCAATGATCTCGGAGAAAGGCAGCTCCCAGCCGTTACTCAGCATCACCGGCACACATGCAGCCTGAGAGAAACACACACACACACGCAGAGGGAAGCTTGGATGTGATCCTTTTCAAACACAATCACAGCTACAGCTAAAACATGACTGATTTGCTACATATTGATCCTGATTATTAAAGCTGCAATACGCTGCTCTTTCCATATAACATTACAATGGCTGGACTGCATTATAATCGACCAGTCTGTGTTTGTTTGTGACCCTTTGTGTTCATACCTAAATTCCCCATTTGGCAAAAATTGGATTTTGTTTGATTTTAAAGCATCTTTGGTGTGATGTAGACATATCATACATAAAATCACTAATGAGGCTTGTAGCAGCAAAGTAGGGAAGTCACAACAATGATTTTGAAATAGCAATGGAAATGGTACAGTGTGTACCTAAAGCTGTAACAGATTTTTTTTAGCACTTCCGGGCAACAGAACAACCTGTAAACACAGTTTAATAACATAAAAATGGTACAAAATAGTAGTCCGATACTATCCTGTAGCTCTGTTTTTGGCCACAAGTTCTTGAGGGAACTATCTGGCTCTTCAGCTGCTAAATCTTGCAGTTTGTTCACCAGCTGGTTGCTAACTCAGTCTGTCTGCTGTTTTGTGCTGGGCAGGTAATGCACAGTGGGTTTAAACCTGAAAGCAGCTGCCTGCTGCTGGCAACTATTGATGGGGCCAAAACGTTAAAGCTGGGGGCCTTAAAACCAAAACAATTAGCTTAAAGATGGTAAGTAGAGCTGAGGGGAACTGCATTGTCTGTTGATAATTATCTGTGGGTTTCTCATTCTTTCACATTACACACAGTCTTTCAAATAACTATTGATATAAAAAAAAGTTAAGTTATTAGTGCAGCTTTAATAAAACATTAAACATGAGCTCAAATGTAACCTAGACACTCATACTGTACATGTGACTTGGATCATAGTTAGAAAAGGATCCAACATGAGCCCACCACAAAGCCGCTTAGCAATCAGATAAACAGAAATAAGCTTGAACATACAATCTAGATAAGCAGGGAGGCAGCATATAGTCACAGATAGCGAGGAAGTCAGTATAATGATGACTGATATGGACATGAAGAAAAATAGCAGCAATTTATTGGAGAGCAGATCAAAGAGAGTCAGTTAAAAAGTTAAAAGTTGAGACTAAGCTGCACATATACAAACAGGCAGCCGGGATTTATATGAACCAGAAAACATTTATGCGCTCGGCTGTAACACTAGTGGACCACAAGAACTCAAAGATGCACAAAAAGAATTTCTTAATTACATCCTTAATGGTTCTGTTTCTGATTCTGTTTGTGTTTACTTGATTTCTAAAAATGTTTGAATCATTTACGAGCCTGAAAATCAAAGAAAACAACTACATTCAGTCCTGCTTGGATTGTTTCGACATCATCTTAAGTGGACGGCCACTTGTCTTTTTACGGCGGAACCTCAATATTGAAATGGTAACTTCAGGTTGCTGGGAAGTTAATTGCTCAAAGGAAGCGAGCAGAAGGAATGATAAATGGTGGAGAGAGGGGAATTAAAAAAAGATCAAAAGTCAGAAGAAAGTGGATAAATAGATGTTAAAAAAAGATGAAAAGAAGGGGAGGTAGTGAAGCTGAATGTGACCTTTGGCAAAGGAGTGGCAGAGGGAAGGAGGGATGAGAGGAGAGGTAGAGGGAACAGCTGGTGTGTGTGTTTGTGTGTTTGTGGTGGGAGTTTGATGTAATGACGGCCCTGTCACTCCCAGGTCATAAAGGTGTCAGCTAAACCAGAGCTGGCCCTCGGGCTCCGCTGCTGTCTCCTCCGCAAACACACACTCACAAAAACCACCACACACACACACACACACACACACACACAATCCCATGCATACAGATATATACAGACACACAAACAACCCCAGGCATACACACACACATACACAGAGTTGACCTCTATTAGGAATTGCTTTCTCATGCAAAGACCAAAGTCTGTAAATACTCTCCCTCCGTCTTCCTCTAGACGGTGCGAGTCGATGGATGGAGTGAGTCAGACAAATGGAGAAAGGAGGAGAGAGGAAAGAAGAGGGCATATTTTCCTCCTGAGTGAAGTGCGCTGTTATGTGTGTGTGTGTGTGTGTGTGTGTGTGTGTGTGTGTGTGTGTGTGTGTGGCAGCTGATAGTGAGATAAGCGCACTTATGTGGGTGCACTCTGTGGACGGCGGGGAGCGGTAAGGAGAGGTAAAGGACAGTGCAGTAGTAATGCGGAAGAGTGCAGTGCAGTTACAGAAATGGATGAATGGGGGGGGGAGAGAGATGTGAAGTGTGTAGATTTCAAGAGTGAGTGGAGTGGAGGTAAATGCAGGTCCAGTATTAGAAAATGACTCTAGATGGGTGGAATTTACCTCATGGGGTTATTATGGTCACACAGTATGGTGAGGTGCTACGGCGCGCTATGTGTAGCAGTTTAATCCATCTTAATCTACACTTAACTTTGACAAATTATACGTTGGTTGAAAGCTAGTGATTCTATCTTTGTAAACTATTTCAAGATTCCTGTATCAGTGTGACAATAGATGTTCATTTTGTAACTGGAATGAATAGGAAACAGCAGTAAAGATGAGACGAAAACCTTTTTTACAATTTTACTTTCTTCGTCGCTGTACATTCACTAGGCTAATCATATGCTCACACCAGAGAGCGTTGCAGCGGAAATCAGCTTCCCGTCTTGTGTGGTTGTGACATATCTGATTCTGTGGCTAGCTTCTAACTGCCAACACACGAGCCAAGTGGGAACATGATCGCAATAGATGGTCAGTCACAGTTTCTTTCCATTTCCCTCTACTGGGATGTTTACCTCTGGCATTTTGTTCTTGGGATTGTACATGATTTCATTTAATTAAGTTATTAAAGTAGGGGAAAAGCTCTCCAAGCACGCTTGTAGGGATGAACCCTAAAAGTCGACTAATTTGTTTATCGTTGTGAAGAGTCTTAAGCCCTATTCGCACGGGACTAGAATTACCTGGGGACCTCATGTGATTTAGTAATTACCCCACCACGTCTGTGTTTCGCGCAGCAAATTCGCACGGGATAAGCGAAGTCTGTGTTTTAACTCGAATTTACTGACATTATCCCCCGGGTATGATGTCAAGGCTCTGCGTAACCTATGCGTAACATCCGCTTCCTGGACAACAAGAGCAATGGCTGCAAAGAAAAAAACCCGGCATTGGACGCACAAAAAGAGACGCTCAGTTTAATTGCTGTGTGGTGTGAACCACATTACCAAAAGCAATTTGATCAAATGGTGCACAACCACACAGTTTGGGAAAGTATTTACAAAGACCTCTTGCTCCGGTGCCTGTCTGTACAGGACTTTTGAGATTGACCAAGTGTAAAGAAATGTTGGACTACCTGCGAAGAAAGTACCGTGACAGCCTCATCTAGCTTCAGCCGTAGATGAGCCTCCTGAATTTGCACCCAAAATGCTGTCAAAACTTTCATTTATAATTGCCAACGCAGCCTCCATAATTCTCGACCGGGAAAAAGGCGCGGAAAACACAAAAAACCTTAAAAAAACGAAACGACCCCAAATCACGGACATGCAGATTCGCACGGGACTAATATTATCACATGACCTCTGTGTTTGGCGAAATATGGTAGGTCATTTGCGGTGGAATTTTTACTTTACAAATTACGGACATGGCAGATTTGCACGGAATTAAGATCATAGACGACCTCCGCAATTGTTACAAATGACTAGAGGTCCCCAGGTAATACTAGTCCCGTGCGAATAGTCGATGCACTTCTCATTAGTCTGATTATCGCAGAAAAACAACAACTGCCTTATCACCAGGACAGTTTTTTTTAAAAGACATATTTGTACCATAGTTGTCCTGTTTCATAACTGTCTGTCTTCCTCTTTAGCAGAGCAGTTTATACACCGACCAAGGAGGGTAAAATAAAGCACTGCAGGCTATCCACTGAAATGAATGGATTTCACTGTGAAAATTTGGGGTTTTAAAAGATGGTGTGACCCTTCATTCTTATTCTTTAACTCTGCTGCCTGTCAGAAGAGACCAGGATCATGACTGTGCATGTCATTATTTGAGCTTGTGCACAAAAAAAGGGGTACTTGTTACGGGGTTAAATAATTGCAATGAACATATTTGTTAAAGTCAGGTTGGTTATAACCACACAGAAATTCTGTAATGATAGTTATCTGACACTTGATCAAAATGATTGTTAAACTAAGAGTTTTCTCACAGTTTCTGTTTTCCCAGCAGCCCTTTGATCATCTCCCTGTCTGCAATTTTCACAGTCAGTCAACAATTTCACAGTTTCAGCAGTTCATCAGCAAAATAAAGCAAGTGTTACAAAGTAAAATAGACAAGAAAAAGCAGGTAATATTCTCAGTGAAGGTCTGGTTTGTTTATATTCATTACACTATTAGGTACGAAGGTGGTAATGATTTAGTGATCCTTTAATGCTAGAGGTAGCACCATTAAAACAAAAGCTAAGTGGGAGGTTGAGTGTGGGACGGGATTCTTTTTCTTCCCAGTAATATTATGCTGGTAGGCATCTATTTACAGCATATGCGGTGCCTTCTCATAATGGAGTGTGTGTGTGTGTGTGTGTGTGTGTGTGTGTGTGTGTGTGTGTGTGTGTGTGTGTGTGTGTGTGTGTGTGTGTGTGTTGCTTGTTTACCTGCAGCGCCTCAAGGAAGCGAAAGGAGCCCAGTCGTCTGCCGCGGGGCACCAAACAGAAGGTGGAGTTGTGGAGCATCTCCTTGTAGTCATACCTGCAGAGACACAACACACACACCCATACGATGAGTTCATTGACATAAACAAGAACAGGATATTTACAGCAACATGAACATGAACAATGATACAATGTCCAAAATGAACAATATATGAATTTGGAATAAAGGTTTTTTTAATATCCCCTTTTCCTTCCTTTTCTTATTCACTCCACAGGCTTTCAATCCATCCCCACACCTCTCCTATCATGTCACTCGTTCTTTCCTGCTATCTCACAAGCCACACGCTCATTTGCACCCCCCCTCTTCTCTACTTGCTACTTTTTTCAATCCCTCTATCTCTTAAAGCAGGAGGCTGATGCTCCCTTCCTCTGTCCCTATCTCAGTCTCTCTCTCTCTCTCTCTCTCTCTCACACTCTCTCCCCCCCTCCCGGTGCCTCTTTCTCCTCCTCCTGCCCCTTCATCCCTCTATCTCTCCAGTGAGGTGTGTCTTATTGCTCTCCAAACAGGGTGATCAACCCTGCCAGGGGTAATGAGCTGAGAGTGACACCTGCTTCCACCACACAGCTGGCTGTGTGTCTGTGTGTGTGTGTGTCTGTGTGTGTGTGTGTGTGTGTGTGTGTGTGTGTGTGTGTGTGGAGGTGTGTGTGTTTGTGGGTGTGAGTGTGTTTTTCGTGTATGTGTGTGTGAAACGGAGAAAGACAGAAATAGAGAGACATCCGTCTGTGTGTTCATGTTTGCATGCATGCTGCTTCTCTGTGTTTTGACAGTTTGTGTGTACTACTAAATACAAGCAATGGTATCGTGTGTGTGTGTGTGTGTGTGTGTACTGTTGTATGTCACACAGATGGATAAAACAATGTCTGGCCATCTCTTTCATATAGCATTCCCTTCTCACTGAATGCCTCAATGTCAGTTTCTCCCATTTTGTTTGGTTCTCTGGTCCTCTTCCATATGTCCATGTCTCCCTGTGTGGGTTATTTCTCTTTATCTCTCTCATACACACAAAGCTAATAAATTCCACCTAAAAGCTAAAAAGCTAGCCAACTGTGCAGAACCAGACACGATGGAGTTGCTGTATTATTAAGTGTAATTATTTTATCTTTTTTCACCAATTTTCACTAATAAAGAGCCTGAATTTATCTTTAAACTGAGGCGAGCAGATCTGTTTAAGCTGTTTTGTTACACATATAGATAGATACTTTATTTATCCTGAGGGAAATTCAAGATTCAATATATTTTATGTCCTCCATGTTTCCTGTTGCAAGAAGACACTTATCACAACCAAAGAGTGAAGTACAATGGCCACGCGGTTGCAACCTTCAAAGGTTCAGTTCCAGAGGGCCACCTTAACATAATTTTGGCAAGCCTTCTCTCTCGCCCATTTTCTCTTTCTCTCTGCCTATACAATAAAAACAAAAATGCCAAAGAAAGACATCTGTCCTGCCAGTTCTACCATTAAAAAGTCTATTCATATACAGATTTTATTCATAACGACACAAATGATTTTATTTGTTTCTTGCATTTATTGAAATAATGAGCCCTAAGGGTTGTTCAGGTTGGGGGTTAAGAGACTGGTGAGGCAGAAAATCATTTCTCATTTAGCCATAGTCTATACAAGGTGAAGGTTACAGGACACACACACACACACACTCTACATACACATTCTGCTCTATTGATGGTGCCGTGGCTGTATCGTAGCTTGTACATAAGGGTGACAGTGATTGTTGATGGTGCCTTCTGTGTGTGCCTGTGAATATGGACCGAGCTGACAGGGCAAAGCTGGAAGCAAAGCACTGTGTTCACATGCACACGCACACACTCGATGGTGACTGCTGATGTTGCCGGCGAGATGCTGCCTCGTCTCTTCTTTAGCTGAGCTCTAATGAAGTGCAGGGACATGACAGCCTGCGGTAAAATCCCACCCTCATTCACACCTACATGCATAACGTTCTGTGCAGCACATAACACGTAACGTTCTGTGCAGTTATGGTGCGTGCACGCTCACACACTCGGACACACACACACACACACACACACACACACAGACTCACAGACACACACACGGCGTGAACAAGCGACAGCTGCACGCCCTCACATTGACGTTCCGTCACCTGTCGATGGAGACGAAGAAGCTATCTTAGCCCATATTTCCACACCAGCTGTCTGCCTGGACGGTGTCTGTTTGTGCATGTGTGTGTGTGTGTGTGTGTGTGTAACAGCCCACAAAACAGGCGAGCATCTGATGGCAGTGAATATCAATGTGTGCCCTGTAAAATGTTTTATCTAACCACTGTGCTTGTGTGTGCCAGATCGTCTGTTTCGTGTATGTTTAATGCAATGCAAATGTTTTCTGTTTGTTACTGTTTGAGCCAGTCTGTCATGGGAAGAACTCCTAAACTTCTCTTCTCAGTTCTTTAATATTTCATAACCAATATGGGAAATTTCTACCAAGTCTCTCAAGCAAATCACTGGTCTACAGCATGCACATTTTGGCCGCGGGAACGTGACTGCTGCCTCCTGAAAAAGTGCCAGTACAACTCTCCCATGTGTGATTCACCTGCTGTGCTGTTATTACGACTCACTGTGCCTAAAAGAGATCATTTTCTTTTTACGAGGGTGCGTTAGAGGTTTAGGGATTTGAGTGAGGTGAGGAGGTCACAGGTGGAGGCCTACGCGAGGACATCCCCCTGCAGTGTAAACCCACCTTTACCTCCCACCTCCTCGTACCATCTCCGAACTCCTATTCCTTCTCTCCAACCTCCTGCTGGTTTGAGCTTAACGCAGGGTTCAGTGGCCACAGCTTGCGTTTTCGCTATCTTTTTCTTCTCTACTTATTTTTCTCCTAACAACAGCTCTCCCTCCGTTTTGTCCCTTGCGACCTTGAGCTGGCGGAGGGAAACCACAGCCGAATGCTTGCGAGCCTGCAGGCTGTGATTGCGTTTATATTTTTCAGACACTTCCATTGTATATATGAGTGTGTGCACATGTGTGTTTGTGGGAAAAAGATAACACAATGAAAAAGCCGGCTGGGAAAAAAAACAGACAAGAGTGTGTGACAAATGTGAAGTGACAGCCTACTGGAAGGGCTCACTTATGCCACATCTGTAGTGAAAACAACAGAAAACAACGTCGGCGAGCAGAAAACATGACGCTGACGGAGAACGAGGCTTCATGTAATAAAGCGCGGGAGATGACCTCTGCATGTGCACCCCGGTGTTTTGTATTCACGCGAGTGTGCGTCGGAGAGTGCAGGTGTCAGCATGTCCAACAACTGTGAAGCAGTTAAGAAACACTCTGCTGCCAGCCCCAATGGCGACGTCCTACACCGTTGCCATGGCAACCTGTCATTAAGTGCCTTCATTTGGAGCAACTTTATTACATGGGATTGACACTTCATCCATGCAGACAGGGGGTAAAAAGGGGGGGGGACTGTATAACACACTATCAAGCTAATGTTGCTGTTAGAAAGAAACTTTTGTCGAATCAGGAACCGTCTCAACCCACATCCCCATCAGCCACCTCTACTGCTCCCTTAAGGCCAGTGGTTAAGTATCAGCGGTAATATCATCATTAAAAACTACTGAACTGAACTGACCCTTTGCTACGTCCTTGGCCCTTGTTGCTACGCCGATCAAACTTTACTTTATAAAAAAAAAATGCCGCATGAAGTTTCTGATGATAATTGAGGCAAATTCAAAATACATTTATATCAATTATTGATTGATATTTTCAGAATCAACGGCCTGTTATTCCTCAAAGAAGTATACAGAGAAAGGCCTCTCATTTCTAGCTAATGATCTTTGATTTGTTTGATCTAAAATGAGAACTGCTGCCAGCAGGTTTAATCAGCTCTGGCGAACTAGCTAATTATTAAACTCCATCAGTTGGCTTACAACTCTCATGTACAGCTCGACTTTTCTGTGTGTTTCCAGCTGACTCAATTTAAAATGAGAACCATGTACGACTGAGGCTAAGCTAAAACTGCATGTCCCAGGCAAAAAGTCAGCATCGTCACCGGTGGAGTATTCTTCTTGTATTGCAGGACAGCCAGTCAGCCAGTATTATAAATGAAAATGTAAAATATGATTTTCCTCTGCATAACCTCATTTGGATACTTATAATAACTATATATACACAGTTGTACAAGCACCACAGTAGTTATTTTGCTTATTGTTTCAACTTTCAAAAATGTATTTAACTTATACATGAGAAAATGGAGAATAATGACTAAACAATGAATCAAGTAAGAGGGGACGAGGCCGCTAACATTACTCTGATATAGTAGTCAAGGCTCTCACACAGTGGTCTGGAACGAGGCTTCTTAGAAAGTCATCTGTAACATTTGCAACTCAAATTTAGAGCAGACAAACACACTGTGTTAACTAAAAGGTGAAATATTTCCCCTTCAAAATGCACTGAAGTAGCATAAAAGGGAAATAGTCAAGTAAAGTACCTCAAAACTGTACTTAGTATAGTAAAAGTATTTTGTTTGAGCACAGATTCCCAACGGTGAGCACTTGGCGGGCTGCCACCTGGTCTTTCTGGTGCCATGTGGACAACCAGCAGGCGCCAGAACATGGAGCTTCAGGGTGATGAAAACATAAAACCACAACCAGCCTGAGTGTCTTCCAGAGAGCAGAGCGAAAGAGATCCAATTTACTGCTTATTGAGACTGTTGTTACATTAGCCTCCTGGACCTCTCTCCTGTCTCCCTCTGCTACTCGCTTATAATTTCTTTGTCTTCCAAACTGTGTTTCTGTATGTGTGTGTATGCAGGAGGGTGTGTGAAAGAATGGGTGTCTGGAGGTCTGGAACAAAATCCAGGGAATTTTTTTGTTTTTTTTGTACTGTATTGTAGTGGGGTTTGAGTGTGTGCATGTGCTCAGGAGGTTTCTGTAACAAAAAATAAAAAGACTGAGATGATTAATAAAAGAAAGCTCCAATTTCCTCTCACTGTGTCCTGCACCTGAGGATGAATGTGAACCGTAAGATGTGGTGGCTGTACATCAAAGGATATAAAAGTTATTTATCATTAT